ATAGTATATTTCTAGAACTTGAACTCTTTTAGTTCATAAGGTATATCATTTCTTTTAAATAAACAGTATTTCGATAGGTGTAAAAGTAAAATTTTGCTCTGTTCATCTCTTTTGTTATTTTTAAAGCTGTCGTTTTTATACCCGGCGTATAACGCGCACCCTTATATTACGATCTCATTTTTTGTGTTCTAAGTGCGCGTTATACGCCAGATTTTACGGTAAATCATTCGCAAAGCTAAATATTATGAACAAAGTTTGAAATCATCGTAGTTCCATTTAAATCCAGATGGCAGTTACAACAGGGATGGCGATATTCATTTTTAAGAAGTACTGTAATTCATATCAATCACTCTTTAAAAAGTATACTAAATTAGAAATGTAGTTCATTTTAGTTCTAACATGTTTGAATAAATAAGTTCATGAACCGTTATAACCAAATAAAAAATAGTCGCAAAATTAAGTTATTAAAAATAAATGTGAGTTTCATAAACATATTTCAGCAATTGTTACCTATTTCTTTCAAAAAAGAAGCATCATTATTGAATTTTGTTAGCTGTGTTGTTTGTGTCTAAGTATGAGTATTACTCTTATAGGGGGTTAAATAAACCATCACAAACATCAGACGTACTCTACCAAAAAAGTATGAACGTATTACCTACCGATATAATCGAAGATATGCTGATTGGGTGACATATCCAGGAAATGTATAGATAAAAGGCCATGTTAGAAATGAAACCTGTCGTGCACATTGCATATGGAAAAAGCATTTTAAGATGTGTTTTTTTTTTGTAGCATGTCTCTAGAGCGTGATCAAGTAAAAGTACGTATTCGGTAGATTTGTGCTGAAGAGCAGGTATTGTATAAATAATAAAAACAATTTAAAAAGTTTTGTTGAGGAAAATAAAATAATTGATTTATCACGATTTTATGAAATGACCGAAATCCTGCGAAATGCACGTGTAATATGGCTAGAAGGTTCGCATTTTTCGAAAAACCATTGGATGATCATTGTCTTGCCGAAATACAACTCTGAGAATCCGTTGCAGGAGGAATAGAACTATGAGCTCCGCTACTTCCCCAACTTTAAACAATAATGGCTGTTCAGAGTTCTTCAATTTAAAGCAATGATCCCCAGCCCCGAGTCACCCAAGGAACATTTAATTATTTCCATTTAATTTACTAGGGTATATTTCTCTTGGGTTTGTGTGCGTGTGTGTGCGACTTTTCACGGAAATCACTTTATATTCATTTTTGGTGTAATTATATTTTATTCTGAAGGCATATTTAAATATAATTAAATTAAAATTATTAAGTCAAAACAATCTAAAATATAAACAATCAACGCCCTCCTCCCCCCCAGAGGGTCACGGTAAAATTATCAAACGTTGACCGGGTCGCGGCGATTAAAAGGTCGGGTAGCACTGATTTGGAGTACATAGGAACGCTCAAGATATCTAACATTGTATCTAATAGTATAAATCTAAAAGCATCTAATAGTATGTAACATAATATCTAATCATAAAGCCAGATCATTGTTTAATATATACTGAGTAAGACATTCCAGGAGACGATATTTGCCTCTATACCAACCGATGAGAACGCGTTCATCGAATTATAGGCCACATTGTATTGGGGCTCAATAAAGAAGGCCAACTTGTTGGCATTCGGCACGTCATTGGCTGTGTTAATGAGCCTGTTGTAGCTGATGGGCTAGCGCCAAGGAAATTCTGCACAATGAAACCCTTACACATAGTTTATAGCATAGCAGACATCGACGAAATGTGGTATCAAGAGACGTGCTCCAATATTGTACCAACGCATGCGAGGACACTGTATACTGTAGTGTGAGGGTGTGCAGCCTATCACCGTAATGCGGATGAGGCGTCTTTCATGCCGTGGTGTATAGCGTGGTTTTCTGCCAAGAATTATGTATGGTCCAACTCTACTACATATACATTATTGTTGTGATTTTTATATAACCCGTTCTCCAGAGGTTATTTTACGATTTAAAAGTCTACTTTCATGGAGGCTGATCATGCAGTCCCATTCGAATCCCATTAGTTGCTTATATGGCATTCTACGATTTTGGAGAGACATATTGACTTCTAATAAATTAATTACGACTGTCAAATGACGATACACACATTTCAAAGCATTTTTACGGTGTTTTTTCATATATATGGATCCCTTGAGAAGTTTTAAAGGTTATCTCGCAGACCATACATGCGGAATCATTTTGTAATTCTGATCTTTTGAATATCATATGTTTTAATTTTTCTGCAAATTAAAATTAATTTGCATGATTCATTTTATGGTGTTACAATTTTCAAAAACTGTAGTGTATTTCCTGTAAAGAAATCAAAAATGTTATGAATCTGACCTACAAAAGCGAGAACGGGGATATTACGTCTTAATTTCCGAGCAACATTGATTAACAAACAGTTGTAAAATAGAATTGTAAATTCAAAAGCGCGTGTGGAATGTGTTAAATATTAAAGGATATTAGGTGCCGTAAATATTTACTAACACAGGCTGTTGGTCGAGAAAATGTTGAAATAACCAAAGAGCAATTTCCGTGAACTCTGTGTTAATGCCATTCAAAAGTATATGATACATTTAGAATACGTTGTGTAACTGTATGATTTAAATAGCGTTTCTTGTTGTAGGGTTATATCTAGCTATCTTTTTTGTATGGTTATACAAATATAAGTATTTTATATATGTATCTATTATGTTGAAAAATATTTATTTTTTTGGTCCCACTATATTTTAATAAATTACAAGCTGCATGGCCCGGCGTTGCATGGGCTTCTCAAGTGTATACTTACTGGTGTCTGTGTGATTTCTATATTAATGTCATAAAAATTCTCTTTTTCGAAGTTTCTTCCACCTCTTTATCCCGTCGTACTGTTCTGTTTACTCTCCATTTAGCCTGACGTTGCACGGGCTTTTTTCGTGGGTATAACTTTATCTCCGTGGAAATTTCCCCTTTCTCTCTGAACGCCAGGAGTTCTAGGTGTATGTCATGTGTGATGTGAGTGATTTCAATATTTTTGTCATTTAAATTGACTTTTCCGAAATTTCTTCCACTTCTTTTTTTGTCAGCCTTTTCTTTGTCAGAGTTTGCTTTTTCCATTTCTTTCTTTTCCCTTTTTTCAGCCCGACATTGTGTGCACGGGCTTTTTCAAGTATAAAACTCTTTTTTCCCCCGGGATAAGATCTTTTTTTTAATTTTTTTTTTCAAATTTCCATTTTCGATTAATAATTTACAAAGCTAATCCAGTCTTATTCACAAGAAAACAAACAATCTACGAATTTATTATTAAATAAGTAATTTTGTAATGAATAATAAAAAACAATACAGCTTTAATTTTTTTAAAAAAAATATTAATTTATATCCATTTTTGTTAAATAATGAATCAAAAAATTATTACAGTTAGCTATTGAAATGACTGCTTATTTTTCGATGCGTGTACTTAAATTCATACGTAAGCAAACGTATCTATTTATGAAAGGCTATCATCACAAGAAACGGTAAGCGCAAAAACGCACCGAAGATACCAAAAGATGGGAAATGATCCGAGGAATCCATTTTGACCAATTAATTTCTTAAAATGCAATTATTTGAAAAGATATTAATTAAAAACGATTAAAAGCACAATTCGTCTTCATTGTTGTAACAATGAAGACGGTTTCGCCAGTTTGGCTGAAAATCGATTTTCGACGCCAACTTACGTCATTTTTATAACAATAGCGTTGTTCCAACAATGCAAGTGAATATTGAGTTGAATGTTTTTAGTTAATATCTTTTCAACTAATTGCAATATCGGAATATAAATGGTCAAAACGACTTCCTCTGATCATTCCAACTCTTTTGGTACCTTCGGTGAGTTTCTGCATGGTGAGGTTTGTGAGAAGATAGACACACACACAGATAGGTACATAGATACGTTTGCTTACCATCGTATTTTAATAGTGTAGTGTTTGATTAGAACCAGCTCATTATTGTTATTGCAACTTCATTGTTTATTATATGGAAAATTATTGATTTTTATTTGTATATATATTGGAGTGTAAATTAGAACACAAATTTCATAAAATATAGATGTAAATATTATATGAATAAAGAATTCTCTGTTTTCCACAATAACACGTTCATGTATAAAACTTTAGTCTTATTTCTGGTATTTGTTTAATTCAATAAAATGGATTTAAATTTTTTTTTAACTTGCGTAACTAATTTTTTGATCACACACATATATATGTGTGTGTGTGTGAGAGAGAGAGAGAGAGAGATAGTGAATGTATATAAATAATTTTTATAAAAATGTATCAGTAAATGATAGTAAATTTTAAAAACAACAAAAATATTTTTGTAACCATATTGTAGCAATGGGTAGTTGTTCATAACTGTTAGATACTTTAGCTTTCCCTCTTTTCCATCATACACATGAAATTTACGCGTTATTGCAGCTCTGAGTATCAAATAAAATAATAAATATATTTTTACTATGAGTATAATAGTTGAAATTATCATTTTAAAGTGTTGTGTGTACAAGTATATATATATTCATATAATGTATAAACAATAGTATAAAAAAAAATATTAATTCAATTCCTACTTAGGTCAACAATTTTTTTTTATTTCAGTTACTTTTATTAAATAATTACAATTAATATAAATATGTATATACATATGACAGAATCACAATATTAAGTGACAAAAATAGAAAGCGATTTTCCTTGCAATTTTCCATGTTTCTTTCTATATATGGTACTAGACTATTTTTGTTTGTTTGTTACTATTTACTCATTAATTAAATTTAATTATTCAAATAAAATAGCGTAATAAAAATAAATAAATTAGGCCATCTCACGTGGGATTCGAACCCACGACCTTTGGATTTGAAGTCCAACTCACTGTCCACAACGAACGACTTTCCTTTTTATATACACTGCTGTTTTTAAAAAAATGCAACACCATGAAGGAATTATCAGAATTAAATGTGTGAACTTAGCAGCAAATATCAATTATAAGATGTTACGTAAAATAGTAAGGTTTCAGAGCCACCGCGCATGCGTGGCGTGCGCAGTGCCCTCTGAACAGATGCTGAAAGCGTGTAACTAGAGGGCTGTAGCGGAATGTTAAAAATAGTTAATGATTATTTGTTAGTGGCGAACGATTAGTGAGACCTAAGTATGCCTCCACGACGAAATAAGGAGAAATTCCAACAACTTACGGAGTTTGAACGGGGAAGTATTATCGGCCTTCGAGAAGGAGGATTTTCTTATCGCGCAATAGGAGTTCGTGTGCAGTGGAACAGTTTCACAGTGATACGAGTTTGAAAGCAATGCACCGACGGGCACTGAACAACTCTAAAAACTGGCAGTGAACGACGGAAGGTGACGTCTGTGCGCGACGGCCGACACCTACACCGCATGGTGGTGAGTGACCGTACAGCCTCCTCCAGGCAGTCAGAAGCACGTTGGTCTACTGCTACAGGTGTACTAATGTCGGCTTCATCAATTCGTCGACGTTCGCTGCACCGTGGATTGCGTGCAAGGTGCCTTTGTACAGGATCCCCCTCATGGCAAACCATTGATGGCTGCATCTGAAATGGGCTCATGAGCACAGAGCCTGGCAAGGTGATAAGCACCAAGTTGTCTTTTCAGATTAATCACGCTTCAATTTGTGGGACCATGATGGCCACATTCGGCGTTAGACGCTATGTCGGTGAACACTGCCTTTCAGAGTGTGTTATTGAATTGCATTGTGCCTAACACCCTGAGTTACGGTTTGGGTGTGATTTTGTATTGTGGATGATCCACTTTGCTACGAATTGAGGATAATCTCAATAGCAACAGGTACGTCCGTGAAGTGCTACAGCCCGAAGTCATTCCCTTCCTTCAAGGCATCCCTGGAGCTATCTTTCAGCAGGATAATGCACGCCCACATGTTGCAAAGACTGTTCGAGACTTCTGTTCAGCCCAACACATGCAACTTCTTCCTTGGCCTGTTTATTCACCTTATATGTCGCCTATTGAGAACGTGTGAGATTTGGTTGGTTGGCGTCTCGCTCGTGATCCGCGTCCTGCAGTTTCAAAAGACGAACTTTTGCTGCGCATACAAGCAATATGGAATTCTCTTCCACAAGCAGACATTCAAAATCTGTTTGACTCCATGCCAC